AGTGAGGGTATACCCGATTGGGTTTTCGGGTCAATTCGGAATTTGCTCTCCCCTACTTACAGAGTTTTTTTTAACATAACTGCCACTAACCTTGTCTTATTATTTCGTTTGTTCGGTGGTGCTATACTGCTATCCCAAAAACAAGAAACAAAACATCATAGCATATTTTGAGATCCAGTCAGGTTTTTATCCTCATGATAAGATACAATTACACGGTCAAAATTTTGAAATGACCCAAACACAACAACAACAACGTCATAATAATTGGTTTCTTTTGATTCCATTTTTAGTGGAAGAAGACCAATCCATGAAACGTTCTTTTCACGATACAAAAAGCGAAAAAGAAAACATTTCGCAGCTAGCAACTAATTAAGCTGAGATTATTGAAAATCCGAGAACCCGATCTGGCAAAGAAGGAACCTTTATCTGGATAAAATCACTGCTTGAGACAAAAGAGATCTTCAAATTCCACTCATTTCTTATCAGTTTTTGGCTTCTGGGTCCTTTAAGTTTCCAACACAAAAACATATATATGTATTACGTGTATATGTATATAATAAAAAATAAAAAGATTGCAGGGGCACAGGCCCCCACCCCAAGCCCCTTAGTAGTTCTGCACTAATAGTAAGGTTATCCCAAGTGAAAGTTATATTTGTGCTTGATTTTCAAGGTAAGAAGAGAAGACGGGTTACAATACAAGTGGATCGGAGCTAGGCAAAGATAAAGTGGTGAAAGTTTGAGGGGGGTCTCCAACAAAGTTTTTCACACAAAATATTGGACAAATATGTATGATGTATTGATAATGACGTACATGTGGATGATGTGTGGTTATCAATGGAGTCGACCATTAAAAAGTGGCAAAGGAGATACTCGGAGAATCTAAAAGATGTCTACCACCAAAAAGGACACATCTTGGTGGAATAATGATGAGGTGAAACAATCAATAAGGATCAAATGGGAATGCTACGAAATTTGGGCAAAATTGGAGCAATTAGAACATAAAGGAGTACAAGGAGGCTAAAAGAAAAACAGAAAAAAGTCGTAAAGGAAGCAAGAACGAGGGAAAGTGAACAAGGAATTGTATGTCAAATTGGTTTCTAAGAAAAGAGAAAAAGATATTTACAAAATTGCTCACCGTCGTAATCGTAGGATTCAAGAGAGTGAAATTATTAAGGGTGTGAAGGATGTGTCACGCCCCGGACCTCCCCGGACACGTCGACAATCCGCCGTACAATACGAATAGTCAACCGCAGTCCAACACATTCATATTATACAAGGTGTCTTGAATATCATTCACACGTATACATCCATAAACAAACATAATAAGTAATTCATAACGCAGCGGAAAACATTGTTTAAAACAAGAAGGCCACACAAGGCATTTCATGAGCACGCAGGCTCTATAGTAAAATATCCATGAGCAAATTTAGTTATGTTTCGAATGAAACGGAGGAAGCACGAACCAAGTCTTCTCTCCTAGGAATCACTCGATCAACGAGCATAGGATGCAAGCTCTAGCCTCAACCTGAAATGATGGTGGGACGCCCCCGAAGGGGTCAGTACTCTATACGGCTATAAAGTACTGGTGTGGCAGGCATCTAATAGATATACAACAAGTATTTCACACACAAGACCCTCAAATAGGGTGATAATATAGTTGAGGCTGTAATCCCAAATTACCCCTTCAAAATATATATACTTACTTTATATAAAGTCAAGTAGTCGGCTCAAAGGCCCATGTTTATCAAAAAACATTTCCCAAACCCCGTGACTAATGGTCACGACATACATAGGGTCCAACCCTAATATAACTTCTCATTTCTAGGGTTCGGCTCGAGTACATCATCATGCACTCGCATCATAGATCTCATACTTCATGTAATCATATCATAGATCTCCTACTTCATATAATCACACCATAGATCTCCTACTTCATAAAATCACACCATAGATCTCCTACTTCATAAAACCACACCATAGATCTCCTACTTCATAAAACCACACCATAGATCTCCTAATCCATGATTTCACAATTGACACTTGAATCTCATTCAAGTTCATCACAAACAAACTCAAACCTTGAGTTTGATTCTAACACATTTAGAGCAATCCTTAACTAACATCACAATACTGTTAAGATTATTCCTACAACTCATTTATCATTAATGGTAGCCCCTCCATATCAATAGATATGTGGCAGCCCCCCCCCATGTGTTAAGCATCATCATGCAATTATACATTTACATACACATAACATTCATACATGAGTTGGAAAAGTCAATTTATCATATTAGCATACTTCTATCTCACATGACTCCATATTCATCAATATGGTTTCAATTCATGATCAAGTCCATTACTTCTCATTCATGTCATGTTCAAGCATATTTATTCACAAAAACATGATTTAAGCATTTAGGTAATCTCATGCATAACCTACAAGTTGTAAGCAACTAGATGTCGGTCCTCACCTCAAACGAGCTTTAAAACTTTCCTTCTCAATCCAATGACCAAAGCCTCGGCCAAGAAGGTTTGAGAACTGATTCCTTGCTTGGAATTGAGTGTTAAACAGCCTCCTCAAAGTGCTAGTTCAACCTTTAAACGTTGGTACGAAAACAGCCCCTAGAATGGGTGTTTTCCGGCTAACTCGTTTCCTAGTTTTCCAAGATTTGCTCTAGGTTAGTATCTAACCTTTACATAAATAATAATAACTTTTTAAGGACCTATTATACACTTGGATTAGTGTCATGTTCAAGCATATTTATTCACAAAAACATGATTTAAGCATTTAAGTAATCTCATGCATAACCTTCAAGTTGTAAGCAACTAGATGTCGGTCCTCACCTTTATTGAGCTTTAAATTTTTCCTTCTTGATCCAATGACCAAAGTCCCGGCCAAGGAAGTTTGAGAACTGATTCCTTGCTTGGAATTGAGTGTTAAACAGCCCCCTCAAAGTGCTAGTTCAACTCCTAACCGAGGACACAAAAACAGTCCCTAGAACGGGTGTTTCCCTTCGAATTCGTTCCCTAACCTTTCAAGGTTTTGTGTAGGTTAGTATCTAATCTTTCCAACAATTAAAGTCACTTTATAATAACATTTTATACACTTCAATCAGTGTATAATAATTCTTCAATCATTTATATGATTTAGACAATAGAGAGGAAAGTTTTGGATTCAAACTTACTTTGAATACAAAAACGTATTCCGCGAGGTTGTGTTTTGCTCGGACGATTTGGAAGCCTTCCACTACTCCGATTGATGCAAACCAGACCTTAACGGATTCCTCGTCTTGAGAGCTTTCTGTGGGTATCTCGCACGCCTTATTTGGATGTGTATAACTAGAGATATGAAGCAAACAAGTAACCTTACGCACTGGAAAACGAACCTGCGGCAGCTTCCCCTTTCTCTTGCTTTCTTGGTTGTGTGGCTCTCTCCTTCTCCCTTATCCTTGGGCAGTTCGAATGAGGGGCTTAAGGGAGTGTCCAAGACCCTTCAATAAGGGTGGATAAGTTGTGTGGAGTGAAATGAATTGGTATGGTCTCCATGAGATGTTTTTAGACATGGGTGGGTCTCACTTTTGATCTCTTTGTCATAAGATGTCTCTTTGTACTCATTCTAATTTATTTAGAACAAGTCAACTCTCTACATCATATTATTGATCTCCATTATGTGTATGATCATCCCAATAATTTACATGATGAATATTATAGAAGAAAAACCCTACTCTCATTATTTAGCTCAATAATGCCAAAGATGGGGTTATAGGCATTTGTATTCTTCTTTAATCATTCTATCACTTATTTGACATTTGTCATACATATTATTGGGCTACTAGCCGTGTGGGTCACTCCCGAGTGGGTCTAGAACGCCATTCTCGAATACTTGCTATTTTTAGCAGGTTGGGCCCAAAATAATGTTTGGGCCGCTCGACCTTCCTCAAACTGTATTGAAAGATTATGTATCACTATTTAGATAATGTTGGGCTATTTTATTTATTAATAAGTCCAGAATAAGTATTTGCGAAACCCGACACTAATGTACGAGTTTGAACAGTACGATATTCAACCATGCACTACGTAGAACATTAATCGTTTTACAATTGTTGGGAGATCGGAAATTCAATACATAAATTTGAATTTAAGTTGAATTTTCAAGGACGTCTGGGTGCGGTGTCACAGGATGTCTATCAAAGGGTACTAATAGATGACGAGGAAATAATTAAAAAACATGCATGTGGAGGTCATACTTTGATACCTTGTTCAACAGAAATAAAGTGCAAGGTATTGATTATGGTACTACTATACATGATTGTATGGTAAATTGGGACATTGTGAGAAGGTTCCAATTGACATAAGTTAATCAAATAGGCTCAGAGAAAGATGGGGCACAAGAAAGAAGTGGGTCCAGATGGCATATCGGTCGAGGCCTCAAAAAGTTTGGGAGAGAGGCATCGAGTGGCTAACACATTTCTTCAACATAATTTGGAGAAACAACAAAATGTCAGTGAGTTGGTGGCAGAGTACTTTTATCCACCTATTTAAAAATACGGGTGATGTACAAGAATGTGCCAACTATCGAGAGATTAAACTTATGAGTCACACCATGAAAGTTTGGGAGCGAGTGGTTGAGCACAGACTCCGAAAAAGTGTTAAAATCTCGGAGAATCGGTTTGGTTCTGAAAACACTACACTGCAAAAAAGCTAATCACAAAAAATATTATTACAAGAGAATGCAATGACAATCTTTTAACATTTATACAAATAGTGTAACAACTAACCTGCTAAACAATGATGTGATTAACAAACGGCACATCGGATTAGTACGAAGCGAGTCAAACATAAAGATTATACGATGAGGAATCCAAACCACAAACAACAACCAATGACAACTACACAAAAATACATTATGATTGACATTATTTCATATGAATTCATTTAGATTTTCTTGTTCATATTAAATGAAATAAGTAGATATACAAACTTTTCATATATAACATAGAGCAAGAATGAAACTTTTTCCATCGTGAAGTGATGATGTCAAAGCTCTTTGTAGGTAAGCTTTGAAACCTTCAGAATTATTTTCACATGATGTTGTGGATGTTGTTTCAGGATCCACCCTCAATCACATTAGTCGTATTAAGAAAAAGTGGGTGCTTAATTAAACGTACAATAGAATAATGATATACTCCTTATAAAACTATCACGCATGATTCAAAGTACATCAACAACCTAAATGTTTTGCTAAGCACTACATACGTATAAGCTAAGAATTAATTGATTAAGTAGTAAAGTAGATACTTCATTTCTTCATCATGACTGCATGCCCTTGTTGATCTCAGCATCGATGCACTTTAGTTTCAACGTTCAAACCTTCAACTACAAGATCAACATGCACCAAGAGGAAATTAAACATAAATCAATTCAGGTATATATGTATCACCAAACCAAAGGTATATATGTAATGATTATTAATAGCAATAGTTGGTGCATTCTTTTCTTTTTTACAGTTAAAGTGAAATTTTTGGATTTATGAATGATGAACGATTTGTGAAATCATTTGCTAAAAATGTTTCCATTAATGAAATAATGATCAAGAGCGAAAGTTAGGGCTCCAAAACGATCCGATATTGTCCTAGTCTCAACCATAAACGATCAGGACTAGGGATCGACCAATGTTGCTTTTTAGACTCTGTCTACACCTTATAAAAAATCAAAGTCTTTAATTTTAATTAGATTGCGGGGAGAGCATATATTAATTGTCATAAGGCTATAAGTCAAGTACAACCAATATAATAAAATGTAACATGTACACGCTTTAAGACTATGCAAAAATTAAACAAAACTTAAGCTTAAGACAAAGCTGTAAACCATTTATATTATTAATAATTAAAAGTTTAATAATTTCACTATGAGAGATAATGAAAACGAAGCATTTAAGAAAGCATAATTTTAAAAATCAAAAGATTATTTTCGATCAAACTAATGAAAGATCCGTCTCTCGGCTCTTTCTCTCTCTGATCTAGGGTGGGTTTCCACTGTTAGGATTTTTTCCTCTACTGTCATTTGTAACGAGGAGCCGCCGCCGCAGGCGGGTTTAGGCGTACAGGGTTTCTTCTTCCGCCATCAATTGTGCAACTTTTTTCTTATTTTTAATTTTACTGTTTGCTTTTGATTTTTTTTCATGATCAGACTGTTTATTTTTCTATTGGTTTCTTTTATTGTTGTAAGACTTTTGTATTAGGATTGGGTGAAGGGTGGTATGCTTTAACCGTTGTTGGCTCATTTATGCCCATTATAGGATCATCAAGTTATATTGCTTTTTTAGAGGTGATTGACTCTAAGTTTGGTTTGAGGCCTAGCGGTTACCTGTGGTTCTTTTGTTGTTTTACCCCCTATCTGAATGTTGTGATAGTAATTTATGTCATCCGTTTTGACGATAGAAAAAAGCATAATTTTATCCTTTTTTGTATACGTACACAGTACATACCTTTAAAACAAATAAAGTTTTTATTTTATTTTGTTGTATATGTTGGACAATTTTTTTAAGAAACATAGATAACATATTTTTGTTTTAGCATTCTTGGTATATACGATTTTTAATCAAAATAAATCTATATATTACACCCTCCGTCCCGCTAAGATTGTCATATCTTTCTTTTCGATACGTCACACTAAGATTGTCACATACCAAATTCGATAAAGGAATTACGTGTTTCTAAATCATTTTTTACTTTATTCTTACATAATTGATTCAATATCAATCAAATAAATTCATTTTTCTTAATAACTATGTCATTTCTCATGTCTTGCCCTACTGAGAGGGATGTAGTACTACGTATTAGATAGTACTCCCTCCGTTCCCAAAAATACTTCACACTTTCCTTTTTGGGCCGTTCCCAAAAATTCTTCTCACTTTCTCTTTTTGGACAATTTGTGTGGCTCACATTCATTTTACTTTTTTCTCACACAACCACAACCACACAATTCCACTTTATTTGACTTTCTTAATAGGCGTGCCAAGTCAAACCGGGAAGAATTTTTAGGAACGGAGGGAGTACTTCCAGAAGTGAGAAATAATTAACAGAATCGCAAATTGTTCATTGATTAGCAGAATCACAAACTATTCATTTTTAGTAGGATGGGATGGAATTGTTGAAGTTTTGATAAACAAAAAATTGAGTAACTTAAATTTATGTTCCATACAAGTAAAATGAAATAATTTGGCGGTTTATGGAGTTTGTGAGTTGTGACTGACCTATGCGCACGTGAACACGTGCGTAGAATTGGGCACGAGAGACATAGACCCGCACGTGACCTCAAGCAACCGAGAACGGGCGTCGGAGATGCCGTTCTTCACCAGAGCTCTCACCGTCAAGAACGCATCGAACCTATCCAAGTTCTCCTTATATTCAATCAACAGCGAGGCCTGCTCGCCGGTGAGCGTCACGTTCCTTGACTCCGCAGAGAAGGCGATGCCGCCAGCCGGGACGTTGTTTCCCGGCGGCAGGTTGACCGGGGCGGAGCTCATGGCGGCGAACGCAAGGGTCCCACTATTGAGATAGTACCATCTCGATTGACGGATGAGAGAGGCGCGGCCGTACCCGTCGGCGTAGTAGTAGAAAGAGAGTTTGGCTTCGGCCGCGGCGTAGTAAATGCCGCGGCTTTTGTAGCGGTTGTTGGCGTGGAGGGTGAAGCTGAGGGCGGCGGAGAGGGTGTTGCCGCCGGTGACGTCGATTTTTTTTATGACCACGTTGTCCACCGAGAATTCAGGGCTTTCTCGTTGCCCTTCCCGGATTCGGTGCAATCTCTTTATTCTAAAGGTGCAGTCAGTAAGAAAGACACTGAACAAGGGCACCAATACGATGACTATTATACATAAACAAGCATGTCCTGCTTCACTCACTTGCGGGTAGTCGTGAACGAAGATACCAACGGCGCAGGCAGAAAATAAAAGTATCACTAGGAAGAAGAAAACTATAAGCACAATTTCGGATTTCGTGTCCAAGTCTTCCATTTGCGAATAATTGATTTAGCCGAATGCGAAGAAGAGGCCGGCCAGATGTTCTCAATTTATACGGAGTAAGCTAGAAGCTAGCTAGCTGCCGTTCTACGTACGTAGGCCATACGTCCTTATGTACGTATGCACGGAAATTTCTCGGATATTATTTGATTCACTATCATACGTTTTGTATTTTGTTAAACAGTTTCAATTTTTTACTACATTCTAATTTTGAGTTTGCACATTTGAAGACATTAATTTAGTTTTTGAATGTGTAAATTTTACTTATTAAAGATTGACTTAATTATTAATTCGGATTACTTTAAATTACTCTAACATTGGTTGATCAAAAAATGCTGACTGTGCAAATCGATTTGTGACGAATGGAGTATTAAGTATGCTGGAAAAAAATCGCGTTTATGTTTAAGTGTTCAATGACGAAAATACCATATTAAAAAGATGCATTTTGCACAGTTGCACTACTTTTGTCTAATTAAAAATATTGTACGGTGTTACTTCACTTTTTGCGTGTTTTTCTTTTTATACTTGACAATATTAATTTTTAGTCTCATTAAATATAATGCACTTATGTGGGAGGGGGAGTGGGGAGGTGGGCAGACGTTTCGGTGGCTGGAAGCTGGAGGCTGAAGGATGGAGGCGGACGACTCGTAATGCCCTGCCCTGATCTATAATGTTAGGAAAATGCTATATTATAACTACTTTGTTTATCTTATTTGAATTAAAGAATGTAGTTGTGTAGTAATCATGTAATTGGGTTAACATTAAGACTAAGGCAAAATAGGAAAAGTCATTGAGAGATTAAAAAACCTAATAAGGATGTTTTCTTTTGGACTGAAATTTGCTGGTCTGGTCTGTTTAAGTCTGGTCTGGTCTAGTCTGTTTAAGTCTGGTCTGGTCTGGTCTGGTCTGGTCTGAACTGGTCTGGTCTGATCTGGTAAATGTCTGGCCTCTGTGTATTTTATAACTACGGAAGTCTGGTCTGGTCTGGTCTGGTCTGGTCTGTTTAAGTCTGGTCTGGTCTGGTCTGTTTAAGTCTGGTCTGGTCTGGTCTGGTCTGTTTAAGTCTGGTTTGGTCTAGTCTGGGACTGAAAACAGACCAAAAGAAAACATCCTAAGGTAACAGATTCCGAACGTGATTTAGTTTTAGTCGTCATAGGATGGTTTGCTCATGTATATACAATCTATGTAGCACCGATACCGGTACGCGGAAACGCGGAAACGCGGAAACGGGTACGGGGATACGTCAAAACCAAAAAAAGTAGGATACGGATACGGGGCCATATTTATAAATATTAAAAGTTATGGGGGTGTATTTACAAATATTAAAAGTTATAGGGGTCTATTTATAAATATTAAAAATAGTTTTTTTTTTGAAAATATACACACACACACACACATATAATATCCTATGATGTCTACCCATTCATTGCATTGAAGCATTTTCCTTTTTCAAGATACTTAGTAATAAATTCATAATATTTCTCATATACACTAGTGTGAGTTAATTTAAAGTGCAAACAACTATCCAATTCGGAGTCAATATACACAAATATAAATATAAAGTGCAAACAACTATACACAAATATAAATATAGTCAATAAGTCATTAATTTAAAATGAGAAATAAGTCAAACAACTACAATCTTGAAATTAAAAGTGCAAGTATCCAATTCGGAGTATGAGTTAATGACTTAATTCGGATATAGCCATATAGGCCCATTATTTGATTACCAAGTAAAATGTAGTTTTAGATTTTCATTTTTGTTTAGAATTTTATTAAGTAAATTTTGGGATTTTTTTTTAAAAAGTTGATACGGGTATCCGTCAGGATACGAGTATCGGAAACTTTCAAAAAATTACAAAAAAAAAAATGGAAACTTTTAAAAATTGCAGATACGGCCCGGGAACGTACGGTACGGGTATCCTAGAGTATCGGATACGGGAACGTATCGGATACGCCGATACGCTACCCTAGCGAAGTATCCGTGCTTCATAGTATACAATTGCCAATTGATGGCAATTGTATAAACTATAAAGTCGGTCAGCTTGACGGCCGCCCTAGCCTGCTACAAAATCAAGGAAGAACAAAAAGTGAAAAGAAAAAACGCGTCCGTCAATCTCTACCAATTAAAAACATATTGTACTCCCTCCGTCCCTAATAAAACTTCGAAATAGGTTTGACACACAGTTCAAGATAGTGGGTATTGTATAGTAGAGAGTTGTGCAGAGGAGAGGGAAATGTGTAAGAATTGCTATGAACCACAAATTCTTTGACAAAAAGAGAAAGTGAAAGTTTTAATTGGGACGGGCGAAAAAAGAAAGTTGGAAGTTTATTTAGGGACAGAGGGAGTAATAAGGTTTGAATCGAAGGCAAAGTACCTTTCATAACTTCTTTTTGCATCACGATAGATTTCATTTGTGTGCTTGTTGAATACGTTGTCTTTTTTACATTGTTTACACGCTGTCAATTTTGTTTTTGTATTCTTCTTGACGAACTTTTAGTTTTTAATTTGTCTTTTATAGCTAAGTTTTAATATTAAATCAGTTTTGGTTTATTTTTGGCTTCATTTCTATACTATTGTATTGTATCTTACTAGTATCTCATACGGAGTATGTATTTGCGCTGCACGGTGGGGATGTTTTTGTTAAGTTGAGTTTTATTCCCATAGCCCAAAGATCTACTATAATATCTTTAATCAGTAATCGATTCAAGTGCATGGAATACGGAAATAAATGTGGGAGTATTGAATTGAAACACAAGATCAAGATTGATGGAATTTAATTCCAACTACGGGAGCAGATATGTTTAGGCAACGTAAGGTACTATTATTATTATTCAAAAGGTTTATCTCTTGTAGGGTAAGTACAAGAAGTATTTATAGATCTAAAGTTACACTAACCATCCAAGATGATATACGTATTTGCAAGTAAGGCCTCGTACATGAGTGATACGGCCTCTAGGGAATTTGTACTGAAGTGCTGCCATGACTTTAATCACTACTACATTTTCGGGTCTAATGTAACATTAAAATTGTAACAATTGTTTAATGTGTTACAACAAATCGGTCTATTGTAATGATTTTGAATTTATCGTTACAATAGTACTAGCATCATGTAACACTTCTATCATGTCTGGTAGAGTGTTACATTTGTTTGATAATTGTTACCTTTAATTGGGGCTAATGTAACAATATGAATATCCATCGGGGGAAAAGAGCGCGAACAATTATTTTGGGCCATTAAGAAGCCAAAGCCCAAAATTTTCCGCTATCAATTACAAAGCCCTAGGAAAACAAAACGATTTAGAAAACGTTGAAGGATAACATCAGAATCCATTATCCCATCAACACTCGTTTCTTTTCCCAATCCCATGTGAAGCTTAAATTATTGAAGTATTGAAGCAATTCCTTGGTCTCTACAGAAGGGTGGGTAGACAGTAGACTTAGCAACATCTTCGATTTTCCATGGTTATTCCTAGAAACCCTACAACTAAGTATGTCGTTCTATTTATTATTAGTAGAGGACGAGCAAAACACTCCCCTTCACGCTGCTTATACACATGCTAGCCGGCGACGCACGGCTCGGAGATGCTCCGGATGGTGATGTACTCATCTCAAGCTCAGATTCATCCGCTTCTTCCACCTTTTCACTATATATCCAATCCAGGTAATACATGAATCACATCTTCTAGAATTCCATGATTTTTCTCATTTGTGCTTTCCACGATTTAACCCTAGACTTTTCAATTTCGTTTCTTAATTCTGGTGGTGGTTACTTAGATTCTTACAGAGTATAATATTTGTGGTCGTCTCTTGCTGAATTTTTCTCTTTATTCATTTGTGAATTGGTTTATTAAAGTTGGATTTAGATATATATATATCAGAATTTCTTCATTTGTTTACCTTCTTTAGTGCAATCTAGTTTTTTTTCTCTGCGTTTTAGGAGCTTTCTGTCTACAACTTCTCTGGGTTAATCAAGTTTCAAGAATGATAAAAACATTGATTCTTAATTCTGCACCAAAGGTGTTCGTAGAAATGTCTAAACCAGATTATCGGGTATTTCTTCTTCTTCCTCTTTTCATGATTTCACCTAAGATTCTATTGTGTTCCTTGCAAAATTCTAAAATGAAAGACATATAATTTTCAGTAGTCTTTTCATGATAATTTTCAGTACCGAAGAGTTAGTTGCAACATTGATATTTACTTTGTGTGTTTACATTATAAGTTTATAACAACATTTTGAAACTAGTCTTTTCTATTTCATTTCAAATAAAATAAAGAAAAATGATTCTATAATTACTCGAGATTCAACTGGAGATGTATGCCAATCTTGCTCCTTTGGTTGATGATTCTTATAGGCCATTCGATGATGAGCTATGTAATTCCTTGATTGACGAATCTTAAACTACATAGACTGTATGTTTTTGTTTATAGCTCCTAATGTTTAAAAGCAATTTTCTGTAGTTTACTAATAAATCATATAATATTGTGTGTGTGTGTGTGTAATACACACACCGTAGGAGTAGTGGTAGATAGCATATTTCCGTATTTTCACCTTCCTATTTTATTTCTTTTCCTTCTATTGTACATGCGTTAGCAGATTAGGAAGACAAATTTTTCTCCTTATTTGTATATATGTATGTTCAGAGCAGCTTGAAGAATAATCAATAAAAATTCATTCCTTTTTTCAAATTTCTCTCCTTATTTGTATATATGCATGTTCAGAACAACTTGAAGAATAATCAATAAAAATTCATTCCCCTTTTCAAATTTCTCTCCTTATTTTTCTATTATTTTTTAGTAGTCATACAATGATTCTTTGTTTCTTTTTAAGGAGAAAATGATTCATTTCTATTTTTAATCCAAATAGCAAGTGCACATTTTAATTTGTAATCATATTTTTAAAAAGTGTGCTTGCAGGTATAGACGCACGCACGCAAGCTGTTACATGAATAGAAGTTCGGTACTTACAGATCATTGAAAAGAGTGCCTATCAGGCTCTTCCTTGGCTCGTGA